GTATATGGACTTTACATCCTGGTGACTTTTTTTACCAATTAGTATGTTTCCTCCCATCTGGCAACACTCAGTTTGTTCTCTGTATTTATGAGGCTGTTTGTTTTGTTTGTTTATTTTGTCCTTTAAATTCCACATATAAGTGAAATCATATGGTATTTGTCTTTCTCTGTCTAACTTATTTCACTTAGCATAATACCCACTAGGTCCATCTGTGTTGTCGAAAATGGTAAGATTTCATTCTTTTTTATGGCTGAGTAATATTCCATTGTAAATATGTACCACTTCTTCTTATCTATCAATTATCTACTGATGGACACTTGGGTTGCTTGCATATCTTGGCTATGGTAAATAACACTGCAATGAACATATGGGTGCAAATATTTTAACAAATTAGCGTTTTGGATTTCTTTGGATATATACCCAGAAGTGGAATTGCTGGGTCATAAGCTCGTTCTATTTTTAATTTATTGAGGAACTTTCATACTGTTTTCTACAGTGGTTGGGATTCCAAATTCCAAATTGGAATCCCATCAACAGTGCAGGAGGGTTCCCTATTCTCCTCATCCTTGTTGAAACTTGTTTGCTAATTTATTGATGGTAACCATTTTAACAGGTGTGGTGGTATCTCATTGTGGTTTTAATTCACATTTCTCTGATGATTAGTGATCTTGAACAACTTTTCATATTTCTATTGGATTTTTGTTTGTTTGTTTTGATGTTGAGTTGTATGAGTTGTTTATAAATTTTGGATATTAAGCCCTTATCAGACATATCATTGGCGAATATGTTCTTCCATTGAGTAGGTTGTTGTTTTTTGTTTTGTTGATGGTTTCCTTTGCTATGCAAAACCTTTTTAGTCTGATGTAGTCCCATTTGTTTCGTTTTTTCTTTTGCTTCTCTCTCCCTAGGAAATATATCAGAATATTACTAAGAGCAATGTCAGAGAGTTTACTGCCTGTTTTTTTGTTGTTTTTTTTAAAGGAGTGTTACGGTTTTGAGTCTTACATTTAAGTCTTTAATCCATTTTGAGTTTATTCTTGTACTGTATATAGTGTAAGAAGGTGATCTAGTTTCATTTTTTGGCACATATTTGCCCAATTTTCTCAACACAATTTATTGAAGAGACTGCCTTTACTCTATTGTATATTCTTGCCTCCTTTGTTAAATATTAATTGACCATATAAGCATGGGTTTATTTCTGGGCCCTCTATTCTGTTCCATTGATCTATATGTCTGTTTTTATGCAAATAATGACAGTTTTACGTCTTTCTTTCCAATTTGGATGCCTTTTATTTTTTTTCTTGTGATTGCTGTGGCTAGGACTTCTAATACTATGTTCAATAAAAGTGGTTAAGTGGATAACCCTGACTTTTTCCTGATCTTAAAGAAAAGTTTTAGCTTTTCCTCCATTGAGTATGATGTTAGCTGTAGGTTTGTTATGGCCTTTATTATGTTGAGGTATATTCCCTGTATTCCCACTTTTCCAAGTTTTTAATCATTAATGGATGCTTTTTCTGTATCTATTGATATGATCATGTGATTTTTATCCTTCATTTTGTTTACATGATGTATCACGTTAATTGATTTGCAGATATTGAACCAATCCAGGAATAAATCCCACTTGATCATGGTGTCTGATCTTTTTAATGTATTGCTGAATTTTTTTGGTAATATTTTTTGAGGATTATTGCATCTATGTTCCTCATAGATAATGGCCTGTAATTTTTTTTTTTGTGCAATGTCTTTGTCTGGTTTTGGAATCAGGATAACGGTGGCCTCATATAACGAGCTTAGGAGCCTTCCCTCCTTTTGAATTTCTTGGAATAGTTTGAGAAGAATTGGTATTAATTCTTCTTTAAATGTTTGGTAAAATTCACCTGTGAAACCATCTGGTCCAGAACTTTTGTTGGGAGTTTTTGTTTGTTTTTGTTTTTAAGTATATCTTTATTGATTTCAGAGAGAGGAAGGGAGAGGGGGAGAGAGAGAGATAGAAACATCAGTGATGAGAGAGTCATGGATCAGCTGCCTCTTGCATGCCCCTTACTGGGGATTCATCCCGCAACCCTGGGCATGTGCCCTGACTGGGAATCAAACCTTGATCTCCTGGATCATAGGTCGATGCTCAACCACTGAGCCATACCCAGCCAGGCTCCATGAGTTTTGACAAATGAAACCCAAACCCTATCAAGGATGTTACTGTCACCCCAGAAAGTTCCCTTGTGCCTCATTCCAATCTTGAACACACTTGAGGCAACAGTGTTCTGGTTTTTCTCACCATAGATCAAGTTTTTCTCCTCTGGAACATCATAAAAATGAAATCATATGGTGTATATGTACTCTGTTGTGATTTGTTTCTTTCAATCCACTTCCGACAGTGAGATTCATGCTCTTGAGACTCACGCATGCTGGTGTATATCATAGTTTGTTCTTTTCGATTGGTAGGTATGAGGCCATTGTATGGGTGACCATTTACTCATTCATTCGCATGCTATTCCCACTTCTCAGCTATTATGAATAGGCTGAAATGAACACTCCTGTAAAAGTCTCTGTGTAGGCATATATTTTTATATGCTAGGTCTTTTCCTGATGCAGTCTATTTTTTATCTCCCCCTTTTTAAAACACAAATAGTAGCATACACTGTTCTACTTCTTGCCTTTTAAATTTTTCAATAGTGCATTTTGGAGAGTCTTCTAACTCAGCATATAAAGAATGTCCAACTAGTTCCTTTCAAAAGGAGGGAGATACTGTAATTTAGCCAGTCCCCTTCTGGGAGACATTTAGATGTTTCTAGCCTCACTGAGCTGGGCTTTGCAGGACAGAGTGAGGGGAACTGGGAAAAGGCCCCGAGGCTTGGTGGATCCTGCAGAACCCCTATTGCAGGGACATAAGCTTTCTGAAAGGAGAATCAGCTCCTGACCCATTTGTTCCTGGAGGCTCAGTAATGTGTTGAATGGAGAGGATGATTGTGGAGGTGTGCTGGCAAAAGGCTCTGGGGCAGAGTGATGGGGAGTTCCAGAGGGGAATGAGGTGGGCACTGCCACTAAGGGGTACCCCTGCGACCCTCCAGAACCAGGCAGTGGTGGGTGTTGAAGATTTTTGCACTAGGGCTTTTGCTGATCCTCAGATGGTGTCACATACCCACCCCCTGGCCCTTAGGTCAGGAAGCCGTACTCTTCCCTGGGCTGACCTCTCGGGTGTAGATGGGAGGCTCAACCATCTTCCCCAGCACACATGAGCTTCCTGAGGACTTCTTCCCAGTGAATTGAGCCCATTCAGGGCTTACAGCAGGAGCAGGCTGGGGAGGGGCATGGGAAGTGGGTGTTAGCAGTTAGAGGAAGGTGGTGGGACTGGAGCAGGGGTATCAGCTGAGGCTGGGGCTGCCCACAAGCTAGGGCAGTTTCCCTGCAGGGACCCAGCCACAGGCAGCATGGGGAGGCTCCTAGGAGTGGATCATGTTTCCACGCCCCTCCTTCCTTTCCCAGCTAGGCTCCTAGCAAAGGTACCTGCAGGCAGGCCCAGCAGCTAACCAGGATCTTGGAAGAGGGCCTTGAGCATTTTGTCCTGGCTCTGCTGCTAAGTGGCTGTGTGACTGACCTCTGGCCATACTCTATTTCTGTGCCTGTAAAACCAGGACAAGCAGTTTCCTCCCAGGCCTTTAAGCAGCTAGGGGATGGAAGTGGTGGATGAGATCATGTGTAGGTCGCTATCACAGTGCCTGTCCCACAGGAAAAAGAGCGTTATTCCCATTAAGAGCAGGAGGCACTGCTCCACCTCCAGTACACAGATGGGAAGAGAGGTGCAGAGGGGCCAGCTGGTGTCACAGTGAGCCAAGGCAGCGCCTGGCACCCAAACCGTATATGTGGTTGCTCAATTGTGAGTTCAGTTGGCTGTTCCCAGGTGAGGCTGGTCTGGCCACAGGCACAGGCGGCAACAGAAGGCATAGTGCTTCCCTGGGAAAAGCAGGTTTTCCGAGTTTCTGTAGGTCCAAACACAGCGCCCTGCCTGTCTGGGCACTCTGCAGGGCTTCCTGGCTGGCTCCTGCCGTGTCTCTGAGCCCGCCCATTTGGCCGGCAAGTGTAGAGGGAGCACAGGGCAGACTGGCTGCTCATCCTGTCCTGGTGCAGTCTCAGCAGTGCTGATGTGTGGCTCCTGTAGGGCCATGCCCCAAAACCTGTCCCTCAAGTGGCCCAGAGGGACATCTTGCCAGGGATAATACCACCTCAGTGAGCATGGTGACAGGTAGACAGGACCTTCCTCCTTAGCTAGGCTCCAACCTCAGTGCCTTCATCATGGGTCATTGAGGAAGCACCATGCAGGGCGTGATGGAGGGCTTGGGGTGAGGCCTTGTCTGGGACAAGTGTGTTACTTGAAATCTGGGTGAGAAGTTTTCTCCTTCTGCTCTGGAAACATAAGTCTGTCATTTGGCTCGAGTGAAAACCATTGGAAGGATTTTATGAGTGGCACATTCCAGGGAAGCAGCGACATGCCTGCCACAGCTGTCCACATGATGCTGTGGTCCAGGGCAGAGTGGAGACTCTCCTGGCTTACCTACAGGTCTGGCCATGGCCAACCTCATGATCGGTGACCAGATGTGTACTGATGCCTGTTGTCTCAGCCACGGGCAACAGCGCCCCTTGGCCTGCACTGAAAGGGCTGGGAGGCATGGGGCCATAGGCTTCTGCTGGGAAGATTCTGCACCTCCCAGGACACAGTGGTCCATTCCTGAGGTCCTAGGAAGGGCTCAAGCAGCCTGCACACCAGCCCAGTACCAGGGTTTCTGCTCAGTCACCTGTGTTTCAAACTACCAAAAACCTGAGCATGTGGTTGATACTACCACTAGAAGGAAGTTTTCCAAATGTCTTTCTGAGGAGGAACTTGCACCTAGGGGAGACCTTGGGCACCCTGTACAAAATCAGGACCCAACCAAACCTCAGGCGTCTTCTCTCACTGGCCTTCTTGGGAATAGAAGGGAACTGAAAACCAAAAGAACATGAGCAAATGGCTTGTAAAAAGTTGGCTTTATTTACTTTTTCACCTTATCTCAGTTATGCCATTTTGGCGTCCACAGTGACAGTCCCTGGAAGCTGAGGTCAGTCCTGACCCACTGTGGTCATTAACCACAGAGGCATCACTGATGATTACAGGCGGCAGGGAGGGCTGCAGGGCTCCCGCCATGAGGCCCAGCACCCTCCAGACTACAGCCCCTGCGCCTGGGGACGGCTGCCCTGCCTGCCAGAGGTTGCAGCATTCCCATGGGGGGAGGTTAGGTCTCGGCTCAGGACTGGGTCTGACAAGGCCACGTGTGATATGGTGGTGCACCCTGGACTAGGGGTGGACAGACCAGCCAGGCCCATCCTGGTTGTGGCTGACTTCCTGGGTGGTTTTAAGCAAGTTGCTTCTTGTCCCTTGGTCAGTGTTTTCTGGTGAGCACTGCCAGTGAGAACTCCTAGCAGCTCTCCTGACTCAGGTGTCAAATTTGTTACTTCTCCTGAATCATGATCACGTCTCTGTGCTTCGGAGCCACTGTGTACCTGCTGCTGTGGACATCGCTCTCCACACGGCTGCACTTACTCCTGGTGCCCCCTTCTTAGAACTGGGCCATCCTCAGCAAGAATCCCTCAGGCTTGCAGTGCCCAAATCTGCTGTCCCTGCTGCCAAACACTGACAGGCACCTGCCCCCTGAGAGGGACCTCCCTAAAGGCCTTGGAAAAGGTTCCAATTCCTAAGATCTAGATCACCTGTTATTTCTAACAGAACTTATTTTAAACATAATCGTGAGTCTTTTTATAACAATCATTTGAGCAACTGAATGAAAGCACAAGCTCTCTGACTCCGACGGCATCACAGATCTCGGGCCTGTGCTCTTCTCTTCTGGGGAGGTTGAGAGAGAGGTGGCATCTTGTCATTTACCTTACTTACATTTGGTCCTAAGCACAGTAAAAAAGTTCTGAAAATATAAGTGGAAAGTTTTCAGCCTAGAAAATAGCAGTGGCCTGTGAACACCAAGTGAGTCACTGTCTCTCCATGTCTGAGTGCCTGCCACAGTGCCTCCCCTAGCTAGGGCTGAGTGGCAGTGACAACTGGAAGAACTGGATAGACATCACTTAAGGGGTTCGCCACACGTTTGCCTAGCTTGGCCAGAACAACTTTATAAAGCTAAAGAATCCCCAACTCGCCCTGGCTGGTGGCTCAGTTGGCTGGAGCATCATCCTGTACACCAAAAAAGTTGCAGGTTTGATTCCCCATCAGGGCACATACCAAGGTTGTGGCTTTGATCTCCAGTTAGGGTGCGTGTTTCTCTCTCTTTCCCTTCTTCCCTCTCTAAAAATCAATAAACATATCCTCAGGTGAGGTTTATAAAGAAAAAAAAAAAAAAAGAATCCCAACCTCACCTGCAGAAAAAAGGAACAGCCCAAAAGTGTCTGCCAGGAAATTCATCCTTCTTTTAGAAGAAGCTCTGTCCTAAAAAACTACTTTTAAGAGAGAAGACAATTGTGTCTTCCAGAGAACAAGTTTTAAGTAGATGCTCCTACCCTTGACCATGAGGGGACACGCTAACCAGTCACCCACATCTACCAGAAAACACATGGTCTGCTCCCAGCCTCACACCCTGCTGCCACAATGAAATGTAGTCCTTTCAACAATGTTTGTGCTTCTAACCAATAAGACATTCCCTTGTAGGGGAACAGCTGAGACCACTGCAGCCGCCTATGGCACTGAGAAGGTGCGAAGGTTAAAACAAAGGTTACATGGACACTGAGGACAGTCATTTACCCTCCCAATTTCTGGCCATCAACTGAATAAAGCCTCACTGCTTTAGTTATTCTGCCAATGCCAGAATAAAAAGTAAAATTTCAAATTGGAAATTCCTGGCCCTTTAAAAATTGGAATGAAAGAATATGAAATTCAAAAAAAAAAATAAAAATAAAAGTAAACAAAGGTCCACATGCCACAGCAGTATCCCACGATGGATTCGTTAGTCCCCCTTCCTTGGCAATTCCAGAGCATGGTCCTCTTCCTGGTCCAGGGGAGACATGGCTCAGAACAGAAGGGCCCCCATGCTGCCGACCTCGCTCTGCTCTTTCACAAAGATTTCAAAGTACTGGTAGATGATTGTGACCGCGAGCAGGATCCCAGTTCCAGACCCGATGGCACCCAGGAAGTCAGCCAGGACAGAGAGGGCTCCAATACACAGCCCCCCGAAGGCAGCAGCAGTGGGGATGTACCTGAGGAGTGGGAGATGGGTCAGCAAGGTGCCACCTGTAGATACAGATAGCTCCAGTGTGGCCCACCTGACTCAGGCTACCTGCCTGCAGGGCCGGTCAGTCTGACACGCTTACCTTTGATTTAGGAACCTAACTGCTATAGCGGTCACTCCGCTATCTCCTTGAAACTTCACCTGCTCACACCCCTTAATGGTCTAGGCTAGGGCTGCTGTCCAGTAAGTGGCCACACGAGCCACACGTGGCTACTGAAATGTGACTAGTCCAAGTTGAGATATTAAAGATGTCACACGAGATTTGTGAAGACTAGAACATAAAATATCTAATGATTTTTCTTACATTAATTACACATTTTTACTTTTTAAATGTGACTACTAGAAAATTTTATGTGGCTTGCATTTTATTTCTTCTGAACAATGTGCGGTAAATCTAGAGTCTTCCGAGAATTCTCACGAAGAGAATGAATAAAACTGCCTACTGCCCCTGCCAGGGATCAAAAAACAATCTGAAATTTGCAATGCTGATTTTCTTGTGGACACAGGGGGACCTTTTCTATCCTGTAACCAAGGACAAGACTTAATTAACCAGAAATCCCTAAGCCCTATCAAGATGCTTGATGTAAAAGAAAACCACAATTATAAGATACCACTAGGACCTAGGGCAGCACTCACCGGTTGAGTTCATGGACCATGGAAGTCTCTCGGTGGCCCCTCATCACCATCTGCTGCTCCTTCAGCTGCTTTGCAACCTGCATGATGCCCGAAGAGAAGACAATGTTCAATTTACGTTTGAAACTGAAAGCCAGATAGACATTTAATGGTGGCACTAAACACAGGTTTCCTTCTTTAGTATCGTAACAATATTTATACAGATAATTTAAAAACTGCTGAAAGAACTCATATGACAAAGTCTAGTTTTAGTTTGGCTCCAGCTCCGAAGGAGAGCACTTTTATTGCTGGGCTCCATCTATGGCCACAAAGGCTTCGACCTAATGAGGAAGCAGCTGTGTGTGTTCACAGGTCACTTATACCAGTGACAGGTGAGAGCTCCTGTTTCCTGGTTTAATTAAATTGTAACTTATACTTACATCTTTGGCAGAGGAGCCTGAGACCTCGATCCATGTTTTGGAGAAGAATGCACACGAGCCCAGCATGAACACTATATATACAACAGCATGGACAGGGTCTTCTAACACGGAGCCGAAAGATTCTGGAGGGGACAGGTAATAGCAAAGGCCACCAACTGGATAAGCACGGGCTGGACCCCCGGAAGACGTGTCCTGGGAAGAATACACAGAAAGCCTGTGAGTGCTGTTTCATTATACCTTAGCATAAGGACAAAAGCAGTTCTGAGCAGATGAAAAGGAATACAATTTTGCTCAAGTGTCCACAGTGCAGTTTTCATACTGAAAAGAAAATTTAATGTGCTGAATTTGTAAAAGGCATGACTAAGAAATATCTTTGGGTAAAATGTTTGGTCACAAGCAAGACACATGGATGCACCCACTGCAACCAGCCACAGCATTAAAACATCTCTTCAAGCAGCCGTACTTACAGACCAGGTGCCCAGCAGGCTGACCAGCAGGTTGCCACTAAAGCGGGCCGACAGCATCTGGGAGATGACGTACAGGTTGGACACCAGGGCGGACTGCAGGATGATGGGGATGTTGGAGGTGTAGAAGAGCTTGATAGGGTAGGTGTTGTACTGGCCTCGGTAACGAGCCGACTTGATGGGCAGGTCCACTCGGAAGCCCTGAGGAGCCAAACAGAGCAGCGTGCCCTCAGTGCCTCATTCCAGTGTCTGCACGGACACAGCCCAGCTGGGGGTAGCCGGACATACACTGGTTCCAGGGCTCTCATGCGCCTCCTGACCCACCACTGCACTTGGGGCCACTTCAAAGAGGGTTCCCAGAAAGACAGGCTTAAAAAATGTACCAAAGCCCAGCGCAGTGGAATAATTCCATCTTTGTCAAAAAACAAACAAAAAACAAACCAAAGTCCATCATATTAAATCTACATCAATGTGGAATATACGAGAGCCTGAAGGACACATGCCCTAGTAAGTCCTAACTGGTTCTCTTTGCTGGTTACCTCTCCTGTGCTTTTACAGTGGCCCCAAGACAAGGCCAACATGGCCTCCACCTGACACCTCAGAGCAGCCCTTTACGATGTTTTAAATCATAAACAGAAAAGCTAAGCTTTTCTATAAATACAGACTCTCCCTCTGAAACTCTTGGAGAATAGAAAGGTTTTCTTTTATATTATTTTTACAAACTCCCAGTGCCTACAACAGGACTCAGAATATAGAGGATTTAAAATAAAATAAATTTTTAATGACCGTACTACAAATACCCAGCAAGCTTATGGTGGCACTAAACCTTATTAATTAGGCATCTGATTAAATCTCAGCTGAAGGAACAGACCTGTCTGGTCCTAGGAAAAAGCACTTGGCTGGTATAATTACCTTTCTACAAGCACTAAACTGTCTTCTCCACTGACATCCCTTCTTGTTAATAAATATCAGAATACAAAGTGGCTGATGAAAAAAATACAAAGACTAATCCAACTACAGAAAAGCAACTGACAGCTCAGGTCTCTTAATTGGAAGCAAGTGACGCAGACTAATAATTTGAAAGGTAAGAGCTCTCAAGAGGAAGGGCCTTTTCTAGGATGACACTACCCACAAATACTCTATAAACTTTGGGTAGGATGGCGATGAGGCTTTAGAGCTTGATGACTTTTCATTTCTCTTGAACTAAGAACTTAAAGATGTATCTTCGTTATCTGTTGCTACACCCAACCCAAAGGAGCATAATTTCAGAAATGTTACGTCTGCCTCAGTTTTGTTTAGTTCAGGCAGGTCCCTATGACTCAACGGGACACACTTGTTCAGCTCACGTGGAAACCTCCTTTCAAATGCTATCCCACTGCTTCAGTACTACCCTATGATGTACACCACCCCTGGGCGTTCTAAAACTTAAATCGGACCATCAGATCTGTGGTGGGTCTGGACGCACCTGGAAATAGATGACCACTGCAAAGACAAAGATGGTTGCAATGAGATTCATGAGGTTGGGGAGGTTCTGGCGGTAGAAGGCCTCTCGAAGGGCTCGGACCTTGTCAGTGCGTGTGGCCAGCAGATGAAACAATGCAATGATGGCACCTTCAAATTCCATCCCTGTTGGTAAAGGAGGGGGCACATGTGGTAAAGAGACAAACAGCTTCTCAGTGGCCAAAAGAGGAAAATAGAATTAGTTTTAAGATTCATGGTGCCTACTGCTATAACCACAGGGGTACAGTGGCATCTTCTCCCTCATTTCTCTTTCTTCTGTAGGGATTTCAACCTGCAGAAATGGGCTACTCTACTTTTCTGAGTTATTTCATTGACATGGGAATCAGTGGCCACTAGATGTGTGGAATGATGATCAATTATAAAATCACAAAAGCGGAATCTGCTGAACCCCAGCTGAAGCGGTCCTACACTGAAGAGCAGGCTCACAGTTGCCCCATTCACTTCCCTGGAAAACCCCAGGCAGTAGGAAGCAGCAATTGTTCTTCTCCCAGACCTGAAAGGGTCTCAGTCAAAAATGCATTTTCCCCATTGCCAAGCCAAACTGCAGCAGAGTTCCAGATGTAGCTGCCAGCTGCCTTCTCAGCCCTGTGACCTTTGTGACCCTAACCTTCTCCCTTTCCCTTCACTCCTCAGCAAGCATGGCAGTCTCACAGCCTCACTCACTACCCACATGCACATGGCTGTAGAATCACCTTGCCTGGTGGCACCTTTTCTCCAGCCAGTTCTCAATCATTGCCAGCTGACATCATGACACTTTTACTTTAAAGCCAGAAACCAACCCACGTTTGCTGACAATTTCCATCACCCTTCAAAGTGCCCCCTTTGTCCCGTCTCTTACATTCTTTCTTTTCCTAATGCCCTCACTTAGCACTTTCCTTGTGACCGGCTGCCTTGTCAAAGCTGGAAACTGAACAATTACCAAACTGTGTTCTGTCTTCCACTCCAGCCTGGGGTGAATGTTTCCCTCCAGACGCCAGTTCCCATCACCTCATGGCCTCATAACTCAGGATGTCCCCCAGGCCAGCTATAGTGTGATCTTGCCATATGCCTGAGCTCCCATCCTTCATGCCCCTGCCTTTCACACCCACCCTGGAAAGCCCTGCCTCTGCCCCCTAGTCTTCCCATTTGCCTTGGATTTCCTACAGTTCCAGGAAGTGCTCAGGGAGAAATCAATTCTCATCTTTCCCACTCTTCTCTGACATTCTCCACCCATAGCTATCCTATCTTCTTAGTAATCTATTTGGCACATGTGGCCTTCACATGCCCGGGGACCTGGTTTCAGTTTCACTGAGAGTATGTGGTCTCCAGAGCCAGAGACTGTCTCCAGTATTCAAATCAAAGAAACACTCAAATGTGCATGATTATTTCTCACAGGCTTCTTACAATAACATATTTAGTGATGAAAAATGCCAATTGCATTTCCTAGTAAATCATACTTCCCTGTATGTTTAGAAATTATTAAAAACATCCTCTGAAACAAGATGTCCTTGGCACTCTTCATGAGTATAGCGTAGAATACTAACACTATAGTCATCTACTATGGGCTGGGCATCACGTCATTTCACGGTATTTCTCATTTCATCCCGGCAACCAAGGCTTAGAGGTAGAGGGCTTTGCCCCAAAACACTAATAGGAACAGCCAAGAGGTGAATTCCAAGTTCAGGCCTCTTTCACAAAGTTGCTCCTTGCATGACCAAGTGCGTTGGTTGGTTCAGTGATTTCATTTTTAGAAATGTATTCACTAAGAGCAACTGCCAAAATACATAAACATGAATGTATGAGGCTGTTCACTGTTTCTGTTGTATTAACCACCAAAACTGGAAACACATCCATCAGAAGACTGGTTAAAAAAGTGCTGCTTCATCCTTGCCATGAAATCAACACTGTGCTAGGAAAAAATGAGGCAGGATTCTGTATTCTGGCACAGTAAATGTGAAATACTCTGACATGGAATATATAAGTTACATATTATTATGAGCAGAAGCCTGTCTGTGTTTAAAAATTTTTTGCAGATGCACACAGAAAAATCAGAAGAAATGTACCTAAAATGGAGCACTATTTCCTTGGAACGGGGGAACTTTCGTCTTCTGCTTTGCAGGTGTCCATACTTCTTATTGACCTGTTCCCAGAAAAGCCCAGGGCCTTACCTCGGCCAGTGTTGACAGTGGTGGGGCTGAACGCTTTCCACACGATGGTCTCACAGATGTTAGTGGCAATAAAGAGGGAGATACCAGAACCCAGGCCGTACCCTTTTTGTAGAAGTTCATCCAAAAGTAGAACAATTAAACCAGCAACAAAGAGCTGTAAAAATTAAAAAATAAAAGTAAAGAAACCCAAATAGATTGCATTCCTGCTCCCCATAGGAGTGGCTCTTTCCTTCCTTAGTAAGGGGCTTCTCTGATATAAATGCTGAAGTCTGAGCAGACAATAGACAGCAGGGCCTTCCTCTGGTGAGTTTAGAAGGGAGAACACAGGTGCTCTGGCTCTTTCTCGGTAAAAGTTTCTTTTATGCATGGTTCAGGTCTGTTATTTGGATAAGTGAGTGTGAGGAGCTGCTCAGAAGGGGAAAATGTTAGCATAACAATTACCTGAATGGTGATTAACAGGCAGATTCCAGCACCCATTTCAGAAGGGTCCCCATACATTCCCGTCATCACATACACAATAGACTGGCCAATGGTAATGATCATGCCAAATACTAGAAATCAAAAGAAAACTATGTTCTCAAAGTGGGACATTACACAGTCACAGAGGAAACACTTATTGAACACCTACTCTGTACAAAGATGAAAAACACTGATACTGCCGCCCTGGCCGGTGTGGCTCAGTTGGTTGAGCATCGTCCTATACACTGTAAGGTCACTGGTTCGATTCCAGGTAGGGGTGCATGAGGAAGGCAATAGATAGATGTTTCTCTCTCTCCCTCAAATCAATAAAAATATATAAAAAAGAGAATAATAATACTGCCTCCAAGGAGCTTAGTTCAAGAAACACCCAACAGTCACATTGTCAAAGTATATGATAACTCAAATACCTGTTAACAGAAGCAGGTGAGCTCCTTAATTTCACCTCCGAAATTCATTTTCCTTTCAGTGATGGGAAGAGGAAAAGAGTTGGAACACAACAAATCTGTTCTTATGGAAGACAAATCAGGGAGCAAAATCTACTGAAGACAGCATCCTGAGGCACATAATTTGGTGATATCACCAACCCACAGCATCCAAACTCAGATCAGGTTGCTTGGGTTCTGGAGAGCGCTTGAGCTGAACTACATGCCTGAGCTGCCTCTACTGGCTTATCACCCAGGTCCGAGTCCAGAACAGATGATTAACTCTGGGATAAAGGGATTCCCAGTTTGTATGTAATGTGTTATTGTTTTTGAAGGAAAAACCTCACAGTGCCATCAATTTAGTCACTTGTCCCATTTCCTCTGCCACAAAGCTCTCTTGCCCTAATAGAAACTTCCCTTTTTGTAGGCTGTCTTTGTTTCTTGTATCATACTTCATTGTTAGGGAAAATGGAACTGACACATTTTTACTGGTTCCACAATACTAGATGGATCTCTCAATATGGGTGTGGGCTTCAAGTTCAGCTTTTCTGATTAGTTTGTCAAACCTAATTAGTAAAGTAAAATTGTACTCCAGAGTGCCCATCAAATGTAAGCCTTGACTTTTAAAAAACTGCTCAATGACACTGAATTCTCAAAGCAGAAGAAATTTAAAAATTTAAAAATTGACAACTTAAAAATTGTCCAGACCAAAGAAAAAAAAGACAATCTGTGCTTTTGAAAAATAATTCACATATATATTTTAAAATTCTGATTTGTGTCTGAAACTGACAAGTTTAAATTAGATTGGTCTTTTTTTGCTTAATTATTTAATCTAAGTGCAAAAAATTTCTTCCACATGCTGATGTGGAAGAAAATATGGCTGGATAGAAAACCGTAAATACCATTTCCTAATTAATATATTTCAGTTCAGTTAGAGGCTGAACACAGATCATTCTGATGACTGGTCATTGTTACTAGTGACACTTGCTATAAGACAAATATTGTTATTCCCATTTTTCCAGATGAAGAAACTGAGATATAAGAGCTGTCATCTAACTTTGTCCAAAAGTCATAAAGCTAATAAATAGTAGAACTGGGTTGAGAGGATCACCTTTCCCCTAAGTTGAATCTTTTTAAACTTCCAGAAGAAAAACAGCACCAGCCAAATACCTATTATGTGCCAGGCACTGAGAGATGTTTTACAAACGTTATCCCACTGAATACTTACAATAGCTCTGAAGTACAACACATCATCTCCTAAGTGGTAAGGACATGTGGCTGGTGGAGGGAGACCTTCACACCCTGCTCCTTCTACTTGACCATACAGCCTTGGGGACAATGGACATCCTCCCACCCTGCCTTGTCTAGCCTATCCACGTACCTTATACCATGGCTCTCCCAGAAGTGCTTTCTTTCTTTTTTAAAGGATTATAAACCCAGATAGTTTTATTAAGAAAGAAACTGACAGTGCAGTATGAAGTTTACATTTAAACAAAGTTTTCACAAAAAGCTAACAGATGCTTAAGAAGATTTACAATGGAGTTCTAGATGCAGGTCTAGATAATGTCAAGAACTGATGGATCTCATGGCAATCCATTCTGCACTTTGCTTTTCTCAGCAAAGTGCAGAATGGGTTGCCTCGAAACACTTATCTTCCTTTCCCTCCACTGGGATGGGTGTGCAAACTATAGCATGGAACAGCTTTAAAGCACTAGGGCTTCTGTAGGGCACAGAAACTACACTGGCACTTCAAGGACATCTTCTCAAGCCATCTCTACAGTGTGAAGACAAGAACTCCTTCTCCTCCCCACTTGAAACCCACAGTCAGATGTGACAGGGGCTGGTACCAGGAGAGATAATTTTTGTCACCTTTTTTGTCATCATCTTCCAAAGGGTAGGAATGCCATGTCAGCCTTTCCTCAAAGAAGGATATGACAACCTGAGGGCAGGCACTTGACATTGGCTTCTTTGGAAGCGACCAGTTTAGCCTCCTCAAAGTTTTTCCATTTCATCTGGAACATGCGTTCTCCGCTGGATTCTGCAGCTCCAATAATCTGCTCTGGCTCCAAACCCCAGTCAAAGCCTGGTAGCTTTTCTGACTCTTCTTCGATTTGTTCTCCTCTCTCTTAGCTTCAGAATCAGAGCCAGCTTTGTGCTTTATCTGATTTAACTGTCTCATACGCTATTTTCTGTGACTGTAGAAACTCAGCAGTGAGGTCGGGGCAATCCAGGCTCTCTTCTGGCTCCCATGTGTTGTCCTCATCTGAGAACCCCTTCCACTTTAGCATGTACTCCACTTTGCCCTTTACCACTTGATGGTCGAGAACTTTTCCCACCATATTCCTCTTCCTTCTCTTTTAGCACCTCCTACACTTTCTTCTTGTTTTGTTTTTTCCCCATAGTGCCCACCTGCTTTCTGGTACAAGGGTGACATTGCTCAGAGTACTGCCCAAGAGCAAGAAAGGCATTGGGGCCGCACTAATGGTGCACAGCGTTGGGCAGGCTGGAGGAGTGGTGCCCAGGAAAGCAAGAGGCCAGATGGCCACAGTTGAGCCCCTCACTGAAGTGGCCTACTACAGGCCCTGGTGACTGGCCCTGTCCAAGAAGCATTTTCTTGCTAATACAGACCACTGAGCACCTGCAGGGCTGGTGAGCCATGAAGTTACACAGTATAAAGGAAAAACTCTTTTGATGCCCCAAACTTTATAGCAAATTCAAATTCTCAGCTATAGACATCTGAACATCATTCAAAATCTCTTACACTTTTGGGCTCCATTGAAGAGAGCTCGGTCTTTTGGGGTGTCACCAACTTCAATTATTTTGGCGCCAGCCAAGAGCTGCATGATGAGGCCAGAGGTGACAATGGGAGAGATACCCAGCTCCATCAATGTGCCTGAGGACAGGGGAAGCAAAACACAGCCCATATTAGCTTGGAAAAGCAACACATTAAGAAAACGAATGAGCAAAATCTGACTGTGTACCCCTTATACAAATGCAATGTGCTTCTGTTTGCTAGCAGCATTTAATTTAGAGAATAACCCACCCCAAATATCAACGATTACAGTAGAATTCAATTCATCCTGTTCGGTCTGCCAGACCACATCTTATTCTGTTTCAGAAGTCACATGGCTTTTAAACAGAGAGCTGCATTTAAATTCACCATAAACAGATTCATTCTGGTTTTACAGAGATAAGAAAAGTTTGTCTCTTCATCGGTTAATAAAAAGGATAACATTCAAATAATTTAAAGAGTCTGAAAAGGAAGCCTGTACAATTGTATCTAGTTGTGAATTACTTCTACTTCCACTATGCTAAAATACTTCTGACTGATTTGAAACTTAATTTGAACTATATTATATTTAAAAAATAGGTTAATCAAAAGTAATACTGACATAAACGTTCAAAATCCTAAGGCAATTAGTTAGAGTATACAAACACTGTTACATATTTTTTTGACACATAGATATAACCTATAGATATGAAAAAGATGCAGCTGAGAAACAAATTACATATTCTAAAGGTTATCAAAACACAAGAAAGACAGGTAGAAATATCATTATTTTAGCTTAAAAAAATTCTAGTTTTTAGACTTTTTTATTCTCTACAACACAGACCTAATCTTGTTATTACAGGTTTTGTACTGCATTCATATGCAATTCTGAATGTGCTGATATGCCTCGATGCTGAATTCGGCATTTACTAAGGCTATTCAGCACAGCACACTAACATTTTTCCTGAACACTCACTGAACTCCACATAAAGCCAAAGTCTGTAATTTAACTAAAGGAGGTCAGTCAAGCCCACATTGTACAGAAAGAGGTGCAGAGAGCCAGGGTTCTACCTCTGTTAGAGGCTAGGATCACTCTTATCCAATAGAAAGGGTCAGCAGAATCTGAAGACATGATACCAAACAGGGGAATCTGGAAACAAGCATAGAGAAAAGGAGTCAGTGCACTTGTCTCCAGCCCTCTGACCCCCATTCCTGATACAACAGGAAATATGGACTTACTTGACAGCACACCAAGAAAATAAAGAGGGTGATAGCAGTCCATAGCACCTTCTCCTTAAACTGAATCTATGTAGAAGAGAAAGAAATAAGGCAACAAGTTATTTTCATAAGCAAATTAACAGAAATGAACTCAGATCAGACCTCCTTCTTTGTTCACCAGAAAAGTAAGCCTTGAACACTTCAAACCATGTATCAGACATAGGTGTCAAAATACAAGTACATGCACGACAGGCTTTCTATGTACAAGGTACATATGCAAAGACTTTCATATGCATCATCTCGTTTGATCCCTGCACTACTTAGCATTATTTTTATTTAACAATGAGAAAACTGAGTTTTAGAAAGGCCCACAGCTGAAATGAGTTTGAGTCCAAAGCATGTGCTTTAACCATTAGCATTAACAGTTTAGGATCAGATGCAAGATCAAAGAATGTTACAACAGAAAGGGATTCCTAAACCAGACAAGCCTATACAGCATATGGGCTATCATCATTAATTTGAAAGGTTTTGCAACTGACAAAATCTTGTTATTTTGGAGTCAACCATTTTGGAATTTGTGATTGTTTAATACATAGTACTTTCTATGAACTAAGGGTAAAACAATGTAATAAACAATATGGGGCAGGAGGGCAGGGAGAATTGCAAGTTTAACTTACTCACTATTAGTAGCATCTATCTAAGACTTTTCACATCTTTTCAGGTATGTAAGTAGGATAGGTTACACTTCAGAATCATTTTACAGATGACTAATAAGAATCATTAGAAAAGTTTAGATGCCCTGCCCAAGGCCCCTTTGGTATTAAGCAGTAGAGTGGGAATTCTTCTGGGTCTTCTGCCTCTAAAACTGTGTCTTCATTAGTACTTGCTGCCTACACTGCAAGAATGGCTTTAAAGGGCTTAAAAAACACAGTAATATTGTGCAGACTAAGGATCTTGATGTGGAAATGCCTTGTGACAGTATTAAATGAATAAAACTGTGTTCTTAAAGTATTTTTTCATTTGAGTGCAAGAGAAGTCTAAGCAAGCACCAAGCCAGGGTCCTGGCTCTCTGGTCAGAAGTTCTAGTCCTCTGTCTACCACTTTAGGCCATGATAACACAACCACACAAAGGTGGTGCGAATTCCATGTTCAGATACTCCATGTGAAGTTTAGTGAATTCATAGAACTCTTCCTCCCCTTGAGAATGCTCCCTTTTCCATCTGTCATCACATCACACCAAGGAATTAGGAGTGACCAGGGATTGAACCCGCAACCTAGGTATGTACCGACTGGGACTCGAACCTGCAACCTTTTGGTGTATGGGACGGGGCGACGCTCCAACCAACTGAGCCACTTGGCCAGGGCTGAAATGATTCTTTATGGGGAAAGAGTGGACAATTTTTACAAGACTCCCCATTTGTTAATAACCAAGTCTTTCATGGATATAGCCAAATTCAACAGCAAAACATCAAAAGCTGTTTATCCAAGTCTTGCTACTCTACTTTTTAAACAGCCCCTAAATCCATCCTTATCTCCTACCCAATCCCATAGTCCACGCTATTGCAAAGCCTCTAAACCACTCCGATCCTCTATTTTCAAAGCAATTTTCTAATCTGTCTGGCTCCTATTGCTCCCTACTACCCTTTATGTTCTGTCAATACTGAACTATATATAACACACTCCAACCTGTTAGTCTTCATTGCCTTTCACATTATACATTCCTTATGCCTGGAATTCCTTTCCCCCACTTCAAGAAAACTTCTATTCTTCCTTCAAAACCACTATCAGACACCACATCTTCCAGAGTTAACTCCTTTTGAAGCCACTGCTATACCTTGCACACATTTTCATTGTTCCATTTACCGAACTTAAGCTACAAGGCCAATCAATGTCACACAACTAGTAAGAGGTTGAGCGAAGGGTGGGTCCCAGGCTTGCCTGCCTCCAGAGCCATGCCCTTTCTACTATGCTTCGGGGTGGTAGTAGGGGAAGAGCTTTGCACATTAGCCTGCCAAAGGCAGTACATATGTGGGGCACTTATACAAAACAGTTTTATGTCCAAAAACTAAACAAAACACACACAAAAATAAGACACTCCAAGAATGCAAGTGTCCATGTTGATGTCAAGTACACATATGTGAGTACATGAACAACAGTCTGAAAATAATGTGAAGACAAAAAACATATTACTATTCTTTAAGAACCTAATGAAACTTGTTCATTGTCTGATAGCTCTACTTACATTGGCAACACTCACTATCCTGGCCTGTAGCTATTTAGCAGCAGAAATTCTGACAGTCAATGTAAGTCTACATTTCTATTTTTCCATGCTTTAATGTGCCTGCTGTAAAAAGCAGGGTTCACAAAATGCCTTTAGTTTCAGTTAATTTGGCAGCCTACATAAAAGGTTTTTGTACAGAATAAAGTGACTGCTCTTAGCTCTTTTTAGCAGCTGGCTGCAAAGAGCATCTCCTAGAAAAAAATCCAACTCCAGATCTGCTCCTGTTGGAGGTGAAGGGAGAAGGGTAACAACCTAGGATGCTGAGGCTTTTGAGGCCTTACTCACTGCCAGGATCAATTTCTGGGACATGGCAAACTCCAGGCTTTGTTCACTGGACTAACATCCACAAAAGGTGCTCCGAATAAAGCACATGCTTTAGGTGGAAATTCCCACACAAGAAGGTCATCTTTTGACAAAGCTCAGGAGTACACACAACTGTACTCCAGGGGGGAAGAGAAGGGAGGGAGAGTTTCCATTGGCGAGTTGAAGCCATTTTTAATTGTACTGTAAACTTCAAGCACCCAGAGTTTCACGAAGCCTCCTTTGACAGCGATTTGGGGAACTTACCTTTCTCTCCGGCTTCTGAATTTCCGGCAAGATGACACAGAAAGGCTTGATGACTTCCAGAAATTTGACTTTGATGGGAGAAACAAAAGAAGAGTTAGGGCTCGGAGAACCTTTCGCGCTACCCGGGTAAGCCTTCCGCCCAGTTGTGTTGGGGCAATGGGTAGGGGGTAGGGGGCAGGAGGCAGGGGAGCAGGCCGAATACCGGGACCCGTGGGGATCCCGAGGGCCTGGGATCTGGGCAGGCCTGGTGGGCGGGCACCTGCCCGGACCGGCGAGGGGAAGGGGGGATGTGATCCATTCTGGCGGAGCCACGGCTGCCTCCAGGGACTCACTAGCCATGGCGGCGGCTGCTCGCGCTCCGGGTACTGCTTAGGCTCCACTCCGCTCCGCGCGAGGCGACTGTGCCCGCGGCCCAGCCTGCTACGCGCGCAGCACCTCCGCCGAGAGACACGTCAGTGATAGCACTGGGGTGAGCGGGGCGGGGCGGAACCGGGACCCGGTGCAGGCCGTAGGCCGCTTCCGCTTCCTGCCACGCGCCGACTGACTGCTGCGCCGCGCCGATGACTCCGCGAAGACCACAACTCCCGGCATGCAGCGGGGCCCCCGGGGCCTGTCGGGAAGAGGATGCTCAGCCGGCGCGGCGCGGCGCGGGGAACGCCGGGATAGGGAGTGTGTGGCTGAAACCACCTGGCAACGCGAGAGCACTTGGGGGAGGGAGGACGCGTCGGGTCTCGGGAGACAGAAGCGGTGCCGGTTGATGGAGAAACTGGCTCTCGGTAGACGCCTCCTGCGCCCGCGGCTCTGCTGGCGAGGCGGAGTCCCCGGTCACTTCCTTGCTTTTCACAGCACTTAGAACTCTTTGAATTAGTGAGTAGACTGTAAGCTCCTCTGAGCCGACTTGCGTCCCAGCGCCGACCCCAGTTCCGGCACCTAGTAGGCGCTCGGCTCGTGGTCCCCACACCCTCGTTAGCAAACCCGGGGGCCTGGCCTGGGCCCCGGAGATGACTCCTGCCCAGCCCCTGCCGTCTGAGGGCGAATGGGGAGAGTGCGCCGGGAGACCGACGGTCCGAGAAGAGCGGGGGCCGCTGAGGAGGTGGCTGGCTCACTAGGAAACCTGGAAGGCCTCCGGGAGAAGCCCAGTTGCTTTTGTGCCGAAGGCGGACGGATCCCGGCGAGAAGAGGGGAAGGAGGGTGCGCCCCGTCCAGGAAAGCTTTGTGAGGGAGACACGGCAGTGTGACTGCTTAAGATACGTGGGCAAAGAAGTCCTGTTTGGCTGGGGCAAAGGCTGTGTGAAGGAGAACAATATTGAGTATTCGTGGGCCAGTGGGTAGGTCAAGGGATGCTAGGTGGGGAGTCTGGATTTATTTTCAATGCGTCTGTAATCGGGTAACGTGAATAATCTAGAAGAGACTGCTGTGCGCATTACTTGAGGAGGTGGGCGCTTCTGGCTGGAGATTAGGGAAGATTTTATGGAGCTAAATGCTGACCTGAACCGGTAGAAGTTGGAGGTGCAGGTGTGACAAGGTGCCTTTTTTTTTTTTTTTCCCAATAATAATTTAGGGGTTGCTTTTTCTACTTTCCCTTTCCTCCCATTTCTAGCAGGTAGGCAAGACTGGTAAATCACTTTTTAGGATAGTTGTAGGACAGGAAGTCTTTTTTCTTAAGGTTTAACATCTTTTTTTCCTTCTTTTCTCGTTTTTCCTGTTTTTTAAAAATTTATTGGGATGACATTGGTTAATAAGATATAGGTTTCAAGTGTACATTTCTGTGATACATTATCTGTATATTGCATTGTGTGCCCACCACCCAAAGTCAAATCATCTTCCATCACCATATATTTGGCCCCCCTTTACCTTTTACTAAGCCCCCCCCCCTTCCCCTCTGGTAACCGTCATACTGTGGAAGTCTTTTTTTCAAAACCTAATCCAGGGATGGAAAATTCAAATTACTATAGGAGGCAGGTAGGTAACTTCAATCAGTAAGGTGGCTCAGATGTGACCTCACTTGATACCCATCCCCCACACAAAAATTACACATGGACTACTCTTCTAGAGCTGCTTCTGAAATGCAGCCCATTGATGAAATGGAATTTTGGCTTGAAGTCAAACTGGCAGCTCCTGGATTAAATTCAGTAGATAGACCAGAGCTGATATTTATACACCCTGCACCATGCTGATGGTGAAAATATTGAAATCCTTCATGGTAATTAGTCTCAGAAATTGTGCTATATATTACAATTAGTTAATATAAGTTTTAATATAAACATTGGTTTGTACTAACAGTTTTAGGATATGGTACCATAGTAAATGGGCCTCCTGTTGTAGTGACATTTGAGAAACATTGATGACATAGTTTGGCCTGTGTCAATGAAGGGTCTGTGGCTAAGTTGCATGCGTTAACAAAACATTAATTGCTTTAGGAGAGTCACTAGCTTACAGTAATTTTGTTAGCACATTGGAAGAAATTTAAAAGTTTCATATATTAAATATTTGAAAACTTAAAACCCAAAAATGGCCCGGCTGGGCGTGGCTCAGTGGTTGAGCGTCGACCTGGGATCCAGGTGATCGGGGTTCGATTCCTGGTCAGGGCACATGCCCAGGTTGTGGGCTCGATCAACGACTCTCTCATCATTGATGTTTCTATCTCTCTCCCTCTCCTTTCCTCTCTCTGAAATCAATAAAGATATATTTAAAAAACACACACAAAAAAGCCCCAATATGTTATCAAAGTGAGAGTAAAGCAATCAAAAAGACTTAGAAGGTACAGTTGGAATTTTTAGCACTATGTAATATAACTAAGCATTTCCACAAAAATATTTACTAGAACTTCTAAAGGAATAATATTGATATAGCCATGGGTTTGGACCCACTTGTTAGAAAACAGGTGAATCTCAATGAGAAAACAACTTTTTGGAAAACATAATCAAGGCGATACATTTTACATCATACTCAAAGAAGCTTCATTTGTTTCACATAAAACTGTTTTAATATTTTGCTTAATCTTTCCATCTGCAACAGCATGGGTGGACTTAGAGGGTATTATGCTAAGTGAAATAAGTCAGAGAAAGAGCAATACCATATGATTTCACTTATATGCAGAATCTTAAAGAACAATATAAGTGAACAAACAAAACAAAAAGGCTCATAGCTACAGAGAACAGACTGATGGTTGACGGGAGGAATGTTGGGGGACTGGGTGAAAAAGGTGAAGAGGCTAATTGGTAATTACAAGATAGTCATGGGGATATAAAGTACAGCATAGGAAATATAGTCAATAATATTGTAATAACTATGTATGTGGCTAGGTGGGTACTGGAAATATCCAAGGTTATTTAAGCATCAAATGCCATGAACAAACAGACATGTGGCGATTTAAAAATCTCAAGATACAGAATTACTACAGCCCTCCTGTGGGGGTGGGGAGCCCAGGGGGAAGACAGACCATTTCATTTTTGAAAACCACCTCCAAGCTCCCCAAATAAAAAAATGCTTACCAGAACCCTGGAGCTGAGAATACCATCAGCTGTCTCATTTACTATCAGCCTCTAGGAGAGGAACAGAAACATAAGCAGTCTGGAGCATCTACCTCTTCCAAATAATTTGAAGCAAACACAGCATCAGATTCTAGGCTTTGGAACGACATGATTTCATTTACTTGGTAGATATGGTCTGAATGTGGTAACAGAAGTTTCTTCTAGGGTTCTGTCAGGGTCAGATGGGGCTGTTCCTTGGATTTTTCATGTGAAAAGAAACACAATTCTGGAAGGGACTTTAGCACTTCTGCCCCAACTACCTTGGCCTCACATTGAATTAGTTGTCTTCTGTCTCTTATTGTAGGGTGTTTTGATTATGTCGCAGTACCTTTCTAAAGGCCGAGAGCCCTCACAAAGTTTTTTACTTCAAAACAATTGCAGATACTTTTACTTATTTTTTACTTTTTTAACCTTCACCGAAGGATATGTTTTAGAGGAAGGGAGAGAGAAAGAAAGTGAGAAAAAGAGAAACACCAATGTGAGAGAGAAACATTGATTGGTGCCTCCCATATGCACCCCGACCAGGGCTGGGGATTGAACCTGAAACCCAGGCACGTGCCCTTGACCGGGAATCGGACTGCGACCATTCAGTGTGCGGGCCAGTATTACCCTGATGTTAAGACCACACAAAAACATCACAAGGGAAAAAAAGACCAATATCTCTGATGAATACGGATATAAAGATGCTCAACAAAATACTGGCAAACTCAGTTCAACAATATAAAAAGGGTTGTACACCAAACCAAGTGGGATTTGGAAAGGCAGGTTGGTTAACTCTAACAATCAATCAATGTAATACACCTAAAACAGAAAGGACAAAACCCAAATGATCATTTTAATAGATGCAGAAGTGGCATTTGGAAAAAGAAGTCGTGATAAAACAACAAACTAGGAATAGAAGGGAATTTCATCAAACTGATAAAGGGCATCTACAAAAAATCCACAGCTTAAGTCACGCTTAATGGTAAAAAACTGCAGGCTTTCCTCTCAGGAGTAGGAACATGACAGAGGTGCCCATCTCATTACTGCTACTCTGCATCGCACTGGAGCTTCTTTCCAGGGTTGTCAGGCAAGGAAAATAAAAGGCCTCCAGGTTGGACAGGAAGAAGCAAAATTCTCTGTTTGCAAATGATATGTACTACCTTGTATATGGAAAATCCTAAAAGAGAGACACATTCAATCAATTAAAACTGACAAATGGGTGTAGCAAGGTTTCAGAATATAAATCAATATACAAAAATCAATTGTATTTCTATAAATTAGCAATAAACACCCTGAAAATTAAGCAACAATTTCATTTAAAATAGCATTAACCAAAAAAAAGTGCAAGATGTACTGAAAGCTACAAAACTTCACTGAAAGAATATATAAGTAAATGAGAAGATGCCTGTGTTCGTAGATTAGAAGACGATGTTGTTAAGATGCCAGCAGCCCCCTGGTGGCAGGGCTGAGCCGCCTCGCTGCAGGAGCGCCGTCAGGTCCAGCCGCCAGGGCGGGGAGCTGCTTGGATCCAGCACCGCCTTGGCTCTGGATGATGCCTCTCCTGGGAAAGACGCAGGGAGTCGGGGCGGGAACTGGACCTGGAGCAGAAGACCCCGCCCCGCGATGGTGACGCTAGAGGTGGGCGATGGGGAAGTTAGCCCTCTCCACCTGGGGCCTGACTTCCTAGGTAGCCCTTGTCCAATGGGGACAATGATCCCTGACCGGCCTGAGCACCAGGGCTGGGGCTGGAGCCACCAGCTCCACTCACCTGGTCCAGTCCATTTTCCAGGTGGCTCTTGAGCTTTCCTTCTCAATATACTATCATTCTTCATTCTTGCTGGTTTTAAATGAACCAAAAAGTGATCCTGGAATCGGGACATCCCTTCCCCAGGGATCCTGATGTAAATTAGTGTTCTTGGCTCTGGAGTCTTTAATTCAGTAAGTTTCACATCCTACTGGTTGCTGGCTCCTGTCTGAGCTGCAGCTACGGCCAG